ATACTGCTCCCAAACTAAGACTGATAATCGCACTCCGTAACAGAGGCATGCTAAAGGAAGGTTCAAAGACCAATTGCCCGTTGAGGGAGCAAAATGCCCGCCTCGGATCAGACGCAAATCGACCCAAAACATGATTTTTAAAAGACATTTCTGAGCGTTTTGGCCAACTTTGAGACAATACTGCTCCCTAACTAAGACTGATAATCGCACTCCGTAACAGAGGCATGCTAAAGGAAGGTTCAAAGACCAATTGCCCGTTGAGGGAGCAAAATGCCCGCCTCGGATCAGACGCAGTGGCTGCTTAAAATCGACCCAAAACATGATTTTTAAAAGACATTTCTGAGCGTTTTGGCCAACTTTGAGACAATACTGCTCCCTAACTAAGACTGATAATCGCACTCCGTAACAGAGGCATGCTAAAGGAAGGTTCAAAGACCAATTGCCCGTTGAGGGAGCAAAATGCCCGCCTCGGATCAGACGCAGTGGCTGCTTAAAATCGACCCAAAACATGATTTTTAAAAGACATTTCTGAGCGTTTTGGCCAACTTTGAGACAATACTGCTCCCAAACTAAGACTGATAATCGCACTCCGTAACAGAGGCATGCTAAAGGAAGGTCCAAAGACCAATTGCCCGTTGAGGGAGCAAAATGCCCGCCTCGGATCAGACGCAGTGGCATGCTAAAGGAGGGGTCCCGTGGGGTCGCGAAACTTTTCCTGGGGGTCGCGGAAATTTTTGGCTACAAATTTGGGGTCGCGAGTCGAGAAAGGTTGAGAACCGCTGTCCTAGACTAATCCGCACTACGGTCCTGGTCGCCCTGGCAGTGGTACGTGAGGGAATGCCGCGCAAACGCCCCTTTTGTTGCGTGCGCGGATTATTGTGTGTGTTGGTGTGTGTGTGTGAGTGAGTGTTTGCGCGGTGGAGCATTACGCATGCAGGGGGCAGGCCGGGCAGGCAGTGCAGCTGCCAAGCGCGAGCGCTCTGGGTGGCGCGCGGGACGCGGGACGCGGGTCGCGGGGCGGGAAGCAAGGGAAGCAAGCCGCCACACGACAAATGAGCGCAGCTAGCGCCAGCAGATCGGGAGCCGAACCCACTTTGCTCATCACGGCGAGAGGACGAGGGTCGCTAAACGAATTTCACGCGAGTTATCTCAGAGGCGTCGCTGAGGCGGCCCTACTGCGGCGGCCCCCGGTCGGTCGGGGAGGTCGGGGTGGCGGTCGCCGTCGGCGTGCTCGCGGTGTACGGTCCCGGGGGGGTCTTTGAATGCAACGGATGCGTCACGCGTCTGGGGCGCCGCGCCGCGCCTTCGATCCCTCCAAGAAGAGCAAGAGGGCGGTGACTGGCAATTACGGTGGGCTGGCGGCTCGCGAGGGGCGCAGGGCTGCGCAGGGCTGCGCAGGGACTCGCAGTGCACCGACCGAGGCAGCCGAGGCGGGCCAATTTAGCCGAATCCAATTCACAGCCTTGGCGCCGAAGTCACAACATCCGTCCGTGCAGGGCTGCAGGGGGCTGCAGGGGGCTGCCGACGTCCGCGCTGACGAAGACCAGGGAGCCCGGTCCCAAGTCGGGCCCCGTGCGGCCCCGGGGCGGGGCGGCCAGAGGCTAACCTTGTTGGGCTGCAGCGCGGGGCTGCACGCCAAGGGTTCGTCGGCTGCGGGCTGGCTTGGTCGAGCATGGAGCACTGGCGGCTAAATATAGCGACCATCTCGGAGCCCCCTTCCAGTCTGCAGGGCGCAGCGGTGGCACTGCGGCGGCCCTGCCCGGCCTCGCCCGGCCCCGCACTGCCGGCGGCGAGGGGGCCACGAGGGGGCGCGGGGGCAAGGGGCCGAACCGCGACCTGGCGCACCAGTCGCAGGGCCCCGCCATGGCCCCGCCATGGCCCCGCCCGCAGCCAGGTCAAGTACCCGGCCGCGAGCCTAGGCGTTCGGCCGGGACGAGGGAGAAAAAGAAGCAGCCTTGAGCGGGGATCGAACCGAGAAAGTTGGGTCCCCGAGTGGCGCGAAGGCGAAGGGAGAAGAAGAAAATGATGAGCTCGTCATGAAGTTTTCCGCCCCGGGACGCCGGCGGCCCGATTTGGCGGGTCGTCGTTGCGCCGATCGCTCTTTTCTTGTCTGGCCCGGGCGGCCTGGGCCTCGGCCCGCGCTGGCAAGCCGCGCCGAGCCCACCGCACTTTTATCGACGAGTAGTGGCGGCAACAGACGCCGTGCCATAACGTCCCTGGTAACGACACCATTTCGTCCGCTGTGCCGTCGCGCCCACACGATCCAAGGGGACGACGACGCGGGCCTCCTCCGGGCCCCACGGCCGGGCCCCCTGCACAGTGCACACGCGCCGTGCCGAGACCGGGCAGGTAACGCCCCTCGTCGGCCCGGCCAGGCCCGGCACGCACACACCTCGCTGGAAAGGGTAAAAGAGAAATTACGGGGAAATGGAATGTAAGCGACGCCAAATCGAGAAAGGAGGGGGGGGGGGCTTTATTCCTTGTCAGAGACTTTTCTCTCTCTCTCTCTCTCTCTCTCTCTCTCTCTGCCGGATTTGATCGGCTCCCACGGCTGGGCGTCGGGAGGCCCTCCGGCTGGCCCCCTTGTAAGAGAGACGTAAACCGTGAATGGAGCTCGCCAGGGAAGAATGAACGCGCCTTGATTTAAGGGTGATAACTTTTTATTACGGCTGGCGCGCGGCGCGTAAAATCACTTGTAAATTTTTCTCCCATTTTTTTCGGAGGTTGGTAAAATTCAAGTTTATCGTTTGTTCGTTGTGCTGGATGTAAAAAGGAGCGCGCAGTTATGGAGCTGTTGGAGTGGTGCCGTAAAATGGGACGATCGTATAATCCCAGTGGCCGTGCACGATGTGACAATGTCGTCGTCTTGGTCGTCGTTGTTTCCGGTAGGGGTGCTGCGCTGGCCGGACGTCCAACCACCCATGTGCGCTGCGCAGCGCACAGTGTGCTAGAAGACCAGCGGCCAAAAATCGAGACGCGTTTTGAGCTCCAGAGTCGCTAAACAGGTCTCGAACTAAACGTGTGACCCCACCAATGGATTCCTCGTTCGGAGAGCAATTAATTGGTGGTGGGTCACACGTTCGGTTCAAGTCCTAAGCGACTCTATTACTCAAAACGCGTCCGGAATTTTGCCGCTGCCGCCACTGGCAAATCCGTCCGCGCAACTGGTGGCGTGGCGGTGCATCGACGGGCCATAAAAATAAAAACAATTGGTGGCGCCGCCCGATGGGGCCGCGGCCTTCGCGGCGGGACTCGACAAAAAAGTTGGAGAGAATTGAGAAATAGTCGGTCAGAATTTGAAAAATTGTCGGTCTGATTTGAGAAATAGGCGGTGGTGGAATGGGGTGGTCACCTGGTCGGGCTTATCGCCGTGCTGCCATACCCCGGATAGCAGCGTAGCAGCGCGTAGCAGCGCGGCGTGGCGCAGATTTACTGCCCACTCGGAGTGGCTAGGGCAGGCCGAGGTGGACTGGGCACTGGGCAGGCGGCAGGCCGGCAGGCCCAGGGCGGTGCCAGGCTGTCCGGATTGAAATAGTGGCAAATTTCGATTCCATTAGTCGGGTTTAACGGCGCGCCGCGAGCGGCCTGCCAGCGCTAGGCGCATCGAAGAAAGGCGACTCCTGGCCCGCGCGGCGCGGCGCGGCCCCGCGTGGGTAAACTGCATTCCAGTAGCACGGCGACGACGCGGCGACGACGCCATGACGCGGCCCGCGCCTTCCTCCTGGCCGAGCAGTGGTCTAGCAGTGGTCTGTCAGCGCCAGCAGGGCCGCGGGGGCTCTTGTAAACTGTCATGTCGGGCGCGGCGCGCACTCCGGGCGAAGTCGTCCTCGTCGTCGTGGACGCGGGTTGGGTTTATCGACGGCGACACTTTTATCTGTGGACGCCGCCGCGCTGGGCCGCGCTGCTGATGGCGCCGTAAAGCCCTGGCCAGACGGCCGCGGCTAATGGGTCTTGAGGATGCCGTGGTTGTCCGGGAGCTCCAGCAGTGTGTCGTCGACGCGCAGCCTCAGCCTTGACCGCCGCCGCCGAGATAACGAACCGCGCGTCGTTTCCAACGAGCAGAGCGCGCCGGCGTCGACGAATAGGCCCATCTTGTGGAGGAGCAGCGCCGCAGAACCTGCTCGAGGCGTGTGTTTTCAAAGCTCTCGTCAACGGCACACGAAGAATCAGAAATGGACCTTTTCAGCCAATCGGGATGGATCTAAATGCACCCAAGCCTCCGTTCGGAGAGGTCCTGGGGGGTCAGCCGCGGCAACGAACACGCACAGCTGCAGCGGCAAGGCTGGCCTAGGCGGGCCGACCCGACCCCCCGTGAGCAGCGGGTGTCTCGGACTGCAGTGGCGCGGGGCGGGGCGGGGCGGGGCGGGGCGGGGCGGGGCGCGCGCCGCACGCGCTGCGTAACACTGTGGTTCCGCCCAGGTAGCGTTACGCCCCGTGCGTGACGGCCCCTCTTTGCCTCCACCCCTTCCGTTTTGCTGGAGTCGGGGGGGGGGGGATAATTAATGTAATGAATTGAACGGCGTGCGCCCGGCAAGGACGGCACGACGGGGACGGCCCGGACGGCCCGCGGGGCTAGCACGTCACGCGCAGACACGCAGCGTGCACCACCGGGGTGTCGTCGGGAAGGTCGCGGGGCGGCAGCGAAGCTCAAGGTCGTGGGTTCGAGCCCGGCCCGGGGCGTGTTGTGTCCAGAGCGAGCAGTGTCGCCATCGGCTTCCTCCTCCGCGTCGTCGAGGCCGACACCAGACTGGCGGGCAAGAACACCCCTGAAGAATTGATGACGGCGAGGTCGTGACGTCTGCGCGGACGTCATCGGCGTGCACCTCGAACGGCCGGGTTTGCAGTGTAATGATCCCGTTGCCGGGTCAAACAGTTCGAACAGTTACCTAGCGGGCCGAGTTAGCGGACAGGTGCGAGGCGTAGGTGGCGTTGGCGGGGATGTCGCCGTGGCGGAGGTTGTCGTCGCCGGCCCTCATTCGCGGCCCGACCCTCTGCGCGACATGACCCTGGGGCCGCTGGTGCTGCTGGCGCTGTGCGCGGCGGCCGCCGTCCGAGGGGCCCCCGCCAACGCCCCCGCCAACGCCCACAACGACTCGGACGCCGTGGTCGCCATGGTGTCGCCGAGCTACGCCAGGACCGCCGTCTCAGGCGACCACTCGGAGTGAGTAGCGATACCGGCCGGGGGTTACACGGGGTCCCCGACGAAGGAAAGTTGTGGCCCCGACAGCCCTGGGGGCGACAGAACGCGCCGCGCGCCGCGTCGCCGGCGGCGGTCGGGAGCGCCGTGTCGCCAGGCAACCAGGCGACGCGGTGGTGTTACGGGACTGCCTACCCGGCGCCTGGCTGGCCTTTCTGGCTGCTGGAGCGCCGGCCGCGCGAGGGCCACTTTTCGCAGTGTGTGGGCCTGCGTGCTGCGCGCTGCACTCTGCACTGCAGGCTGCAAGGGCCTAACGAGCAGCGTCTTGTTGGCCCTCTGGCCCTCTGCCCCGGCCGCTGCCTGTCGGTGCCATATTATTCCTTTATCGGGCACCCCGTCTCGCCGTCTCGCTCGGCCCACTGCGGTCAGTCGGACAGGAAACAGGCAAGGGCCGAGCGGGCTGGGCGGGCAGGGCAGGGCTACATGCAACCCGACTTGCTCGGCCCGCCGGCCCGCCGGCCCGCCGGCCCGGCCCTGCATGTCCTGCCCACGGCCTGCCGTCGGCCTGCCGTCGGCCTGCCCTGTCCGCCATTGGCGCTCCATAACTCATCCCCGTCCTCCAGATGGCGCTCGCTGGAGCCGGCAGTCTCGCAGCGCGGCCAGGGCGGACGCGCCCTGAGCTCGGACCCGGACGACGACGACCTGGCGCTGCAAGTCAACAGCCTGACGCCCGGCGGCGCCAAGATGGGCGGTAGCATGCCGAGCGGCTTCAAGACGACGCCGCTGCACGCCGTGCCGCTGTCGTTCGCCTCGGACAGGTACTCCGGGGCGCGGCCCATCCTGGACAGTGTCGTCGACAGCAAGGACGCCGGCGTGGTGGACGAGTCGTTCCCGCCATACGCGCCCGTCGACGAGCCGCTGCCGTTGCAGCAGGACTACAGCGCGCCGGGCCCTGGCTTCGACGCCCCGCCGTCCGGGTACGACGCCCCGCCATCCGACGGATACGATGCTCCCCGTCACCACCACCATCACCACCACGGGTACAACTACGGCCCGCCGCCACCGCCGCCACCACCGCCCCCACCAACGTACGGCCCGCCACCGCCTACGTACGGACCACCGCCGCCTACGTACGGTCCGCCTCCACCGCCCCCAAGCTATGGACCGCCACCACCGAGTTATGGACCTCCTCCTCCTCCTCCGCCTCCTCCACCGCCGCCAAGTTACGGCCCCCCGCCCCCTGTCTACGGTCCGGCGCCTCCGCCAGCGGCACCCTACGGGCCTCCCGCGCCTCCCCCGGACACCTACGGCGCGCCGCTCAACGCCTACGGCCCGCCACGGGACACCTACGGGCCGCCGCCGCCCGCCCCCTACGGCCCGTACCCACCAGCACCGCCGCCGCCGGAACCCCTTCCCGACCCCGACGACGACCTGGACAAGGGGGTGTACACGCACTACAACATCGGGCGCAAGCTGTACTACGCGCCGCTGTGGTTCAGCCTCTACTTCTCGGGCTACGTGCTGACGCAGATTCTGACGCACGTCTGGAGGCACAGGTACACGTTCCCGCTGCGGGTGGAGGACGCGCTGACGGCGGGGCGGTCGGCCTCGGACAAGGAGGCCGTCATCGAGACCGTCACCGAGACCGTCACCAACGCCATCGAGAAGGCCGCGGACAAGTTCAAGAACAAGACGGCATGACGGGCGCCGCGAGCGCCCCGGACCGGCGCGGTGAAAAAATGTCTTGCTGGTGCCGGGATTCGAACCCCCGCCGGGTTCGGCCGTCCCCGCACGCGACTGTTTTTCGTGACTGCTGCGCCGCTCCGGGCGCAATCCGCAGAATGACTGACTGACTGGCCCTCACCGTTGTTGTGAAAGGAACGAACAATTAAAATGGACGCCGGTGATTTGTGTACGTGTTTTCATTTCTCGAGTCCCACTCGGCCTTCCTTCCCCGCGATTGAGTCCTAGCACACTGCACACATGGCCGATTCCACCGGCGCGGTCCCGGCGGCCCACCGCTGGGTGCTGCCAGCGCTCTGCCAGTGCACCAGTGCACATTGCAGTTGAGCACGCGCCGCGTTGCCGCGCGCCTCGCTATCTGTATCCAATTACAAGAGGGGTCCTTGCGCTTCGCGGCTCGCTTCGCGGCGCCACGTCCGTCCCGACCCGGTCCGGTCCGGCTGGACACGGAGCAGGAGACGGTAGCCGAGAGGCTGGGCGCGCGCGCCATCGAGCAGGCCCCGCCCTGGCCCCGCCCTGGCCCCGCCCTGGCCCCGCCCCGCCGCTCATAGTCGTGATTCCGACCGGCGTGGTGCATGTTGGCGCCGTATGTGCTGCCGGCTAAGAGAAGCAAAACATGACCGCTGCAGCTCAGCTCCCTGCTTCCCGCATTCGACCGCCGCCCCGCCCCGCCCCGCTGGCACCGGAGTACCGGAGAGCTAATAAGTACCTGGCCTTCCCCTCGTGCAAGATATACACTGGGCGAGGCGGCGCGCGGCAGATGGTTACTCCCGATCGGTCGCAACATCTCACAACGGCCGTTGCGGCGGTGGCGGCGTCGTCGCCCCGGCCGTGGCTTTGTTGTGCTGCAGCGCTGTCGGTGCTGTCGGCGGTGGGCAGCACGGCGGCGGCTGCGTCCGGGAGGCTCGGCGTCGTGCATCGAGCCCCGCCGCGCCCCGGACGCCACCCCTGGCCGGCACGGCCGGCCACGGCGCAGCGGAGCATGTTGGTGTTGAGTGTCAAGTCGGGCAGGTCCCCCACTGCCCCCCACAGGGACCCCGCCGCACCCCCTTCCAGGGCCTTCCAGCCTCCGGCCCGGCCGACGGGTATCGAATGTACTTCTTTGTTCTCTCCTTCGGGGAGACCAGCACCAGGGCCGGAGGGCTGGCCGGCCAGCCTTCCTGGCGCTGGCCGCGAATAGATCACGTGCGCCTTAGTTTGCTGCATGAATCCTGCGTCCGCCGCCAGCCCAGCAGCCAGCAGTATAGCTAGCAGGCCCCGGAGACACCCGGGGCTGCACCGCACTGCACGTCGCCGAGGTGGTGGTGGTGGTCGCGGCGGCGTTTCCGGTGGCCTTCGCGGCGTGCCAGGACTGCCAGGACGACGCCGGGGCGGCGCGCCGCGGTGCGCTACCCGAGCATGCCGCGCCGGGCCGCGTGGGCCGAACGAACACGGCGCGTGGCGAACACACACGGCTAGCGAAAAAAGAAACGAGTAGGAATAAGACTTTTCAGTCAACAAGTCTGAATCACGCCTCGCGGGCCGATTCGGCACCGATATTTCAGTGAGCGTGACGGACGAAAACGGAGGGAAGGGTGTGGTGCGGTGCTGCACCGCGGCGCCGCGGCCTGAAGAACAGCAACGCCGAAAATAGTGCCAACTCGGGGCGGGGCGGGGCGGGCGGGGCGGGGCGGGGCGGGGCGGGGCGGGGCGGGCGTCCATTCACCGGCATCATCGCGGGGCGGCGGAAGGCGCCTGGGTCGCCGCGCCGGTTTATTAATACGCATTTTTCTCGGAAAGTCTTGTCATCCCGGCGTCGTCGCGGCGTGGCGCACATGTTTGCGGTCAGTGCGCGCCGCGTGTCTGTCCGTCCGTCCGTCTGTCTGTCTGTCTGTCTGTCGGTCCGGCCGGCCGTCTGTTCGGCGGCGCAGCGGGGTGTCATCCGAAGCACGCCGCGAGGAAATATTTGAGCCGAGACGATAGAGCTTTCACCTGGAGGCGACGATGGGAATTTGAACGGGACGGACGCGTCGCGTCGTCGCGTCGCCGCCGAGCCAATCAGAGAACCCCCTCCCCTCCCGTTCCGCTCCCGCACTGCAACGGGACGGCAGTAATATTGTGGCGGCGTTAACGAGCAGCCGAGTGCGTTGACACGCGCCAAGCGGCGAAGCGGCGACCGGCCTCTCGGATTCGAATCGGCTGCTGCCGGTTAGTGTGATAGGTGTGAACACGCCGCCGCTGTCCGGGACGCCCCCCCCCCCAATCTCGGCCGGCCAGAGCGGGGGCTCCCAGTCCAATTTGTAGTTGTCGGCGCATATCGGATGGAATCTCCAATGCAGGCCCTGCTGCCCGCCTGCCTGGGCCTTGGCCTGCCCTCGCGCTCGTCGCGCACGTCGTCCGTCCTGCGTTGCCCCGCGTTGCTCCGCGTCCGAGGCGGTGGCGGTGACACTGTGCTGCGGTCGCGGGAAGAAGGGGGGGGGGGATTCAGCTCGGAGACGACGCGGAGAAAAAACAAAGCGAAAAAGGACGAAAAGACGCAGGGCCCTTCTTCGGGGGATCGGTTTGGGGTGCACCGAAATTGGCGGCATGCAAAGCGGGCCCAGAGAGAAAGAGAGAAAGAGAGAGAGAGAGGAAGATAGAGCGATGCCGCATTCCGCGACGACAAGGCCCCACAAAGTAGCGCTGCGTTTGTCGCGGACGTGGGCCGGGAGGCCGGGAGGGCGTCCTCTAGGGCGTCCTCTGGGGCGGCCAGGTCGCCGATAAGCAAAGCAGGCAGCGCGCTAATGGCGCCGCGCCGCGCCCTGGACGCCAAAAAGAAGTGCACCGCCGACAAAAAAGTGCCCCGTTTCCAGGGCCTGCCAGGGCGCGGCGCTGCAGCCGTGCTGCAGCAGAGCGCTGATGACCCGATACGAGCGTTTGTCCGGGACGGTGTGGGCAGAGCCGGGCAGAGCAGGCGGATCCCGAACTGTGCTTTCGTCGCTCTGTCTCTCTCGCGCTCTCGGGACGGCCCGGAAGGGTGCGAGAGGGACAGCGACGAAGGCACTGTCCTGGATCGGCCTGCAGAGCGCAGCGCGTCGGCCCAGATTGTTATTTGTTGACGATTGTGCGCTGCTTGGTGTGCTGGAGCGCGCTTCGGCGCGCATCCACGGACTGTGTGAGTGTGTGAGTGTCCGCCCGTCGTCCGCAAGGGCCGAGCGGTGCCGTCCGTGGGCGTTGTGGGCGACCCTGCAAGTCGTCTTGCAGCTTGCAGCCCGGCTTGCAGTCGGCTGCAGTCCTGCGGGCAGGTCGGCGCGCCCACGCGGCCGGGGCAGAGCGCCCACGTCCACGTCGGCTCGCCCGGCTTGCACCGAGTCCCATGCGTCTGTCGGCCGCCGTGCATCGCGCCGAATCGCCTTAAAGTTAAATTGGCCGGATTGGCGGGGTGCTCCGCGCCGCGCGAGGTAAGTGAGGTCGCTAAGCGGCTCGAGCAAGGCGTCTGCGAGTACACAGTGCGGCCCCGCCCCGCCCCGCCCCGCCCGCGTTGCACAGCGGCGCAGTGTGCGGCGGCAAATGGCGCGGCGACGAGGCGCCAGGGTCGCGCGAGGCGTCGCGGCGCCTCGACGACGACGACGTCCCGACGACGTCCCGGCGACGCGATGCTACGCGATGAAGCGGCGCCCCGAACGAGGAGCGGAGAAAGAATAAACGGTGGGCGGGAAGGAGGCTAACGCGATCGCCGCCCTTGTTGCGTCTAGCGCGTCTAGCGCGTCTAGCGAGCGCCACGCCCGGGCTGCGCTTGCTGCGCTTGCTGCTGCACGCACACTGTTGTGTGCCGAGGTACGCAAGTACGCACTGCGACGCACTGCGACGCACTGCGCAAGTCGGAGAACGGCCCGCGACCCCCCACGCCGACAAGGTGGCCGCCGACGTGGCCGCCGTCGAGGCGGCCTCGGCATGTTCCTCGTCCATGTTCCGTACCGCCGCCATGATGATCCGCTAATTGTCGGCGGATTGACGCGCTGGGCGGTCTCGTCCGAGACCCGACCCACGACCCCACGTCGCAGTGCCAAAAGACCGATGGGGCGGCCAAAACTCTAGACGCGTTTTGAGCTGAGAGTCGCTAAACAGGACTCAAACCGAACGTGAGACCCGATTGAGCCCTGTTTAGCGACTCTGCGGCTCAAAACGTGTCTAGAGGTTTGGCCACCTCCACCGGTGTTCTGGCCCACTGTGCGTCGCCGTGTCGGCGTGGAGGTCATGGCACGACGGCATGTGCCGCACGGTCGACCACGCCGGACGCGCCGCGGAGGACAAGGAGGCCCTCGCGTGGTTGCGGCACTGCGCGGCACTGCAGCCGGCTGCGGGATTCCAGCGATGCGGAACACGTCGCTGGCGAGGGCGGCCTACAGGCAGCCTAGCCCTAGCCGGCCCTAGGCCCGGGCAGGTACTAAGACGCGTCGCGGCGGGGATTCTTTGGGCGAGATTGCGGGCGAGACGAGTCAGCCAGGGGAAAATGCACTCTCACTGACCCGAGCCCCGATCCATCACCCAGCCGCCTCACTCACACACTCACACACACACTCACACACACACGCACACACTCGACGCGATAACGATGTTTTGATCGGAAACACGCCAACGAGATGAAGAAGAAGGCGGAGGAGGAGCGGGGGAAACAGTTTCTGGCGAGGAGGCTCTCGCCGACGTGAATCCTTCCGGCGAATTTGCCCCCCTGCTGACTCCTGTCCCCCGCATAGTGCCCCGCCGTGCCCCGCACTGCCCCGCAGTCCCCCGCAGTGGGCGCGTGCGCGGCCTATGGCGAAGCGGCGGGGCGTGCCTTCCGGCGTGTGTGTGTGTCGCCGTGTTCAGGGGCCTTTCCTCGGCGGGGCTCGGCGGGGGGCCCTTGCACTTACGGACGGCAGCCCGCGGCGCGGCGCGTGCTGACCGCCGCGGTACGCCCACTGGCGAGGAAGACACGACCGCCCCCCCCCCCTTCCCCTTCCCCCTTTTGCCGTTATCGTGCGTGCCCAGTGCAGGGCCGGGCCTCCCCTTCCCCTCCCCCTAGGACAAGTCTTTGCCATTATTTTAAGGCCGCGAGTATAAATGGAACCAATCCGGACGTCGGGAGGTTGAAGTGGAAGGCGGAGCCCCAAGAGGCAGTGGCGGAGCCAGAAGCATCCGGAGCGGTCAGAAGGTGGCTGGTAAA